AGTTCTTCAACACGTCCGGTTTGTCACATGTGTAGCAGCGTCTTGCATATTTCAACAAGCACCAGGTCTCCTCCTCGTAGTGTGCTCAAGTGGCGGCTTGGATAGACTTGTGCAGAATGCAGCTGGAGGAGGTATTCGCTGCACCACCTTCTTTAAAAGTGATCAAGATGCATTTGATGATGGTTCCACAGGCACGTCAAATCCTTTTTGCTACGGACCTGTGAACTCGATTTGTGTTACGTATGAAGTGAAGCGAGGCTGCTTCCTGTCAGAAAGAGTGTATGAGTGAGCACGTCTTCCTCACCTGGTGAAGTATGTAGAAATGTGAGCGATCTTGAATGTATCATGTGCGCCAGCTTGGTTTAAAAAGCTAGACTCTCTCATAGCAAACAGAGGTGCCACCAAGTTCTTTTTAAAAAAAACTCGAGAGCCTGGGCCACCGCCTCGGAGTACCAAAACAATGACGGATGGCGCACCGTCGGTGGTAGGAGCAGATGTGGTTTTCTAACCGACCTGATCTCCTTGCTTCGCTTGTGTGGGTGGATCTCTACACCAACAAAATGCAGCTCGGGCTCGTTGGAACAGAACATTAGGCGTTCCGGCGACTTCCAGACGAGCGGCTATAGGACGGGATTTGTGAAGGGCTAGCCGTGAAGACCTGGGTCAGTCTGGAGCTCTGCCAGCGTGTCCGCGCCCTGTTCCGCGATCGCATCTTTTTGAAGACATTCCTTGTACGATATCTTCACTGTGATCAGCTCCGGTTATCTTTCTTCTGATTTTATGACAGCGAGCAGCCCTTCTTTCAGGTAGCCTTGCTGTGTAGTCGCCGGGCGGACCGGTAGCTTGAGATGCTTGCCGACAAACTCGTAGAAACCGCTGCACGCGTGATGGAAGTAGTTCCGTGCGAGAATATTTAGAAACTTTAGCCCTCTGGTCACGCAACGCGCGCCCCTGCATCTCGTTGGTGTAGCATGCCGAACGCTGAAATCTTCCTTCATAGCCTTCAGGTTGGAAAAGTTGAAGACAAGATGATGGTCCCGTCCTAACCCTTGTATCCTTCGACTGCTCAGGGCGACGACAAGCGTACGTGAGACGACGGAAAATACCACCACTACGGAGTAAGCGAAGAGCTCTTTGTAGGCCATTCTTCGGTTTGTTCCATTTAGTTTAAGCAACTTCTTCGTCGACGCCTGATTGCAATACACCATGTCCGACTGCAAAATGCGCTCGTCGTTGTTCTCTTTCGCAGACACTCGCCATCTCGAAATAATTGTGAGCGTACGACACAATCATATTCGGACCCTGCCACGCATCGGATACTCCTGACATCCTTGATTTCAAGCGGCTCTCAGGAGTGTCATCCAGTCGGATTTGAACCTCGGGCACGACACTGTCAATTTCGTTTAAAAATTCCAGACTCTGGCCCTCATTCATGACTTCAGGGCGTGTTCACGAAGACAGCTGATGCTGCCGGTAGTTCCTCTGAGTGGTTAATTTCGAGGAGCGCTGAGGACGCGGCGAATGACTGAATTTGGGTCTCCCGCCTATGTCCTGTAAGTGCACTTTCCGACGCAAGTGATGTCTTCTTGAATTCGTTCTTCGTAGTCGTTGTCGTTCTCTTGCCACTCAGGTTTACGAAAATCAAGGGTCCAACGGAATGTTCATGCTTCGTCTTGGCGGTGATATTCTCAGCGTCGTCGTCGTTTTTGTTAGAGCCCCCATTGGTTGTACTGCAGGTCAAGGGAATCTCAAGTGATGTAGGACCTTGAAAAGTCCACCCATAAGTTGTTTTGTGTGCTATAATTCTTTTGTGGCTGGGGAATTCTTGTACCTGTTCTTTTGTGATCTTCCAAAGTTTGTCAGACCCGACAAGCGTACGTATGCCAGGAACTGAGGGAAGACCTGGGAACCATAGCTCGTTTGCGACATGCCTTCCCTTTTCCTTGACGCTAATTGGAAATTCGCTGTCGGTTTGTACCTGCACAATATCCTTGCAAATAAAGGAAAATTCTACGGCTTCAAGTGAACACTCTGTGCTATCAAACTGACTGCAAAGGTGCAAGTGGATGAGTCGCAGTTGAGGAGGTTCGGCGTTTGCGTTCCCGAACGTGTTCACACGGAGGCTGATCTTTTCCAGACCTTCGAGGTTAAGTAGGCGGGTCTAATCCGTGCTAGTCCGCTGTCCCCTGTCTCCCTCCGTCAATGATCGCTCGGAAGTAGCAGCTTTGGTCCTCTAAGACAGCCCAGGCCTGGAACGTTTCGAGGAGAAACTCGTTATGAACGCTACATCATTCCACTTTTTAGTGCATAGAAAACACCGCATGTCACCCGACAGTCGCTTTCTCTTTTCCTCATGAGGTACATCAGTAGAGCAGGTCTCAGTTGAGTGCCTACTCGATTTGCACAAAAAGCAACCAAGTTCCGTCTTTGTCTGTAACACTGCAGCTGCAGAGCTCGCCGATAGTCGTGTGTGGCATATCTGATTTTTTGTAGCTCCTGTGCTCGTAGTTTCAGCTATCTCAGCTCGTTCTCTACTTTAAACTTTGTTGCAATGGAAGCTCAAGATATTTAAGAGCTCTCCTCCGACTAGCTCAGTTGTCAATGGGTTGTTGACTAGGACAGCCGAGCCGCTGCTTCAAGCGCCTTCGTTTTCGGGTCTTTCTTGTGTGGCTTCGGATTACGTCGTTGGGTTTGTGGAGCTAGCTATCGGTAGTGGTACAGGAGCAGATCTTTTGGTAACGCCTTTAGTAGGATGTCGCACATCATTGTTGAGTATGGCTTTGATCCAATTCCAATAACCTTTAGACCTCAGATGTCTAGTTGAAGAGGATCCTGCATCCGGCGTAGACCTCTGGTGTCGTTGTCTGAGATAACGTGAGGCATCGTTCGCAATTTGCCCGATGATCTTGCTCAGTGCGTCACCTGTCTGCGAATCTAGAAGAAAGAATGTCGATCGCGCATTTGTAGCAGGCGTCCGTGGCTTGTAGCCCTGGGTTGGCTGCAGCTGCTGAATTGGTGAGAAGGGTCCGCAGATAGTGAAATTTCTGCTGACATGGGACGCTCTCGTTCTCATCCACTGCGCTGAAGAATTGCTCCCAGAAGCTCTGCCATTCACCGATGTCGCCGTTAAACGTCTGGGGCTGTAACTTTGGAAGCTTGATGCCAGTGCGGTTGTTCTGGGTTCTTTCTGGGTCCGGTGTTGTTGACTGCGACGACACCGGTGGCGGCAGCGGTTGGACTTCGCTTTGCCGGAGGGATGACGCTTTGAGACCTTTTTGGTAGCCAAGTCGTCGTACTCGACTACGGTGCTGTATTCCGCAATGAGCTCCCCATCGGTCATACAGTCTTCCATCTCGGAGTTTATTTGAGGTAGCTCGCTCTTGCTTGTCGTCAGCCGTTCCAGCGGCGAGGTTAGCGTGGCCGAATCTGCAGTTTCAAGAGCTGCAGTAAATTTTCCGAATTTTGCAGAACTGCTTTTTAACACCTCAGTTAAATTTCCGCCGAGTTGTGTTTTATGTATTTTAAGTGCATGGGGGGGGGGGGGGGGGGGGCAACTCGGTGTGAACGAGCTCGAGTGCGTAGTATTGGCTAATGCTTAATCGCCATTTTAACACATAATTCACGCACTGAATGCGCGAGCGCGTCACGCGCTGGTCCACCTAATACAACAAAGCATGTCATCACCCTGGAACAAACAGACATGCAGGCACCGTAATTTAATGAACACAAAGTGTACTCGTACTAGTAGGATCGCTCTGCGATAAACATGCTTTTCATCGCAAATTTTATGTGGCTTTGAGGTCAATTTTTTTGCGTATATAAATGACATTTTGAATGAAATTGATCCATCTGTTGAAGTCCGCCTTTTTGCAAACGATTGTCTAATGTACATAAAAGTTAATTCAAAAAGGCACCGAATGCTATTAAATGACTTGTTAATCACTGTGCACGAGTGGTGTCACAAATGAAGTATGAAAATACTTTTTTAAAAAGACAACTTCTGTAACAATCACAAAAAAAAAAGTCGCCTAGCATATTCCTGTATTCCTCTAATGGTACGCTTTTGCAGCAGTCTGAAACATTTAAATACTTAAAGGTCACAATTTCTAACGATCTAAACTGGAAGGTACGTATAGAGAATGTCTGTGGTGCGGCTTGGTGAAAACTTGGGTTTTTAAGACGGGCACTCAAAAATACAATGTCTGAAGTTAAATTATCCGCGTATAAGACTGCTTCGATCATCTCTTGAATACGCGTACGTGATCTGCGATCCATATGTCAAGTATCAGATAAAACAAATTGAGCGTATCCAGCGGCGTGCAGTAAGATTCGTTTATTCAGAGTATCGCTGCTCGGTATCGGTAACAGAACTATTAAAAAAAGCGGGGCAGCCAGCCTCGGGTCATCGGAGGAAAACGGGAAAGTTGAAATTTTTCTGTCAACTCTACATTATAACATCAGTTCGAGTGACTATATTCAGCTTCCTGGAGGAAGGTCACCCAGAGTTAATAACCAGTTTGGAGTCAAGGCGCATTTCCTAAATCTCAATGTTATTAATTATTTTTTTTTTTTATATTTGAGGAGTGGAATAGTTTAGATTGACAATGCCGAAGACGCACTAGTATTCTTTCGTGGTGATCAGATTCGGAGGTGTCGTTTGACCGAAAGTATGCTCATATGATTGTATTGTGGTGATCGTTCTCGACCTTCGGTTCTTTGATTCTGATGTTTTATTGCTGTATACTCCTGAAACAGCTCGAAAGGGCTTTCAGTATTGTAAGTAAAAAAAATATATTACATAAATGGATACCGAGCGACCATCTGCTGACAGAGCATATGCTATACCACAAGCTACTTCCTTCAATTGGAGTCCCCTCCCTACTAACGAGGTATCCAGAGGAAACTTGTGCCGGTAATCTCCAAGGTCACGCGCCGAGCATGATTTCCGAGATTCTTGGCGTGGTTGGTGAAGCAGGGTCAACGATGAAGGTTAAAAAAGAAATGTTTGTCATAGGTTTATTTTGAAAAACTCCACAGATCATAACATTTCAATGTAATATGCACGGCAAAACACTTCTGACCGGTACCGTTCTTTTACAGAGTTATTATGTCGGTTTATGTTTTCTCTATTCCAACATCCAGGAGCGCGCACCGTGCGGGCACGCTCCTGGATGTGAAGTTGGCACGATCTCATTAGATATATAAATTTTATCGCCTTCATTTTTTAGCTCGAGCGGAGCTTTTGGCTCGAGTGAGAAAACACATGGAATAGCAAGCCTACCAAAGTTACCTTTCGCTCGCACTTCTACTCCCACTGACACCGATAGTGTTATAGTCGAAACGCCATGGGGGTAGCTGTATTCACAGCATGTCTCTAGTTGTCTTGTTATGAAAGTAACCAATATTAGGAATACCCTGACTGAAAAGTCATTTAGTTACGTTAGTACAAACTTAAAATACACAAAAAAGTCTTCATGATGTTTAAGTCTGATCTGAGATAGTGATTTGGCAAAAGGAAAAAAGATAACAATCATCAGCTTCCTGGGGCCAGGACTTCGTCAGAGCTTTTGACTTGGAAAACGTAGGAAAGCTGCTTCTTGGAAAACCAGCTATAGCTGTTGTCAAACCTGAAAATGTCTGAAAAAAAAAAAAAAAACAGGTTGTTTGAAATTGCTATATTTTTAGCACAGCTAAATACCATATATCATCTTCATCTTACGACAAAGATGGCTTTGCCCGTCCCATTTATCTCGTCATTAGTGGGCAGTCAATCAGGCACCACTGACCTGCAGGTTATCCAACGACTTTTTGAATAGAATAAATTCACTGCATTGTCACAGAAAAGCAAGCTGAATCAAAGTTATGAGACAATAAAAATTCCACTCAGTTGTATTCCTTCCTCCAGAATATAATATAGAGTCGGTATTCATTAATCGAACTTTGTCGTACCAGTATCAAAACCGAAAAACAAAGCATTGGAGTCTGCTAATAAAAACGTACATGCCTTAGCACACAACTAGAAAAACCGAGCAAGACCCTTCATGCAATCAGACCAGGACCAGTTAACCACGTGGTGTTCTTCGTGGCTAATGCCCCTCAACCACAACAAAACAAACATATGTCGTTTACCGAACGCTCCTCTCAGACTCCAACTTCTTACCTTCTGAAGACAATACTGTCGAAATCACTTCTACGAATAAGTACCTGGGTGTCCACTTTCAGTCTGATTTGTTCTGGCACTACCACATTGATCTCACCCTTGCTTCCGCTAACCATTCCCTTAGATTCATAAAGCACAATCTTAAACAAGCACCCGTGAACTTACGAAAACTTGCTTATATCACTCCAATCCGCCCCAAAATTGAATATGCTTCTGCCATATGGAATCCTGAGCAATCCTACATTATAAGTAACCTCGAGTCCCTGCAGAACCATGCTGCGCGTTTCATTTGCTCTGACTACTCTCCATTTTCCAGTGTCGCCGCAATAAAAAATCAAGTTGAGTTGAATGACCTAACACGCCGCCATAAACATGGCCGTCTGTCATTATTTCACAAGCTCAAACTCCATGCATCGCTTACCGACGAATTTTTTTAAATCCCTCCCCCATTATTTTTATCCGTCGCGATCATTCATTCAAAGAAACGCCCATCACATGTCACTCATCAAGTTACGCCCGATCATTCATACCACGGACCATAATCGAGTGAATCAAACTACCGGTTCACATTGCAACTGAACTAGGTATGTCTAACTTTCAAGAGCTAGTGCGAAGTTATGCTAATACTTTAGGTACTTTTTTGTTCCTTGTTCTCACATTGTCTTTGTATAATTTTTGTGTCTTATCTGTGAACTACAATATGTAAAGCCTCATACCTTTAGGAATATTTTGATTAAGTAAATAAATAAATAAATATGCGTCTATCTTGCAGGAAACAGGACTAAGGAATCCGGAGCGGAACTACGTCTGCTACTTGCACAGCGAATTGCATCGACGTCAGAACGCGCCGAGCTCTGATTGGCTCTAATGGGCAGACCTCATTGCTTTGAGAAGCGCAAGTTCGCCTGCTTCTTTTGCAGGGGTTATGGTGATGTCAGAACGCCGAGCTCTCGGACTCTGACTTGAAGGATGGTGGGTAGACCTCAAGGTAGCTTGCTTTAAGGTCTACCCGTTATCTTTGAATTAGAGCCAATCAGAGCTCGGCGTTCTGACGTCACCATAACCCAGCAAAAGAAGCAGACGAACTTGCGCTTCGAATAGATGCCTTGAGGTCCTCCATCTTTTTAATTGGAGCCAATCACATCTCGGCATTGTTCTGACGTCCCCACAACCCCTGCAAAAGAAACAGACGAACTTGCGGTCCGTGTAGGGTTTCTCAACCTCCACGGAACATGCGCTTGACTCGAATACATTGAGATTATAACCGGTGCCTATAAGAAAAGCAGATGTGAAAAAAGAGTAGTTCCCGAAGAGAAGGAAACAGCTCCGAGGACCGTTCAGCAAAGACCACCCACAAGTTAAAGCCTCCTCCCTCCACCCTCCTCCTCCTCCTTCCTCCTCTCCCCCCCCCCCCCCCCCCAGAAGCGTCGTCAATAATGGAACCACGCATCGCCGCCTATACCGTGTGACGGTATCGTCGACAGCGCGTCTTGTTATGTGCACAACGAGCTCGACGTTAGGATGACGCGACGCCAAGACAGACGCATATCTCGGTTACGGTGACTCTCGTTCACCGTGCTTCGCCGCTTGCAGCGGTTCGGGGACTCACTAAAAACGGCGTCATGCGCAGGCCCTGTATTCCAGGTGGTAGTGGTTCAGTGCGGGTTGTGTTCCCTGTGAACACAAAATAAAGTAATAGTTGAAGCTGTCTCCTTGTGAAACATTTTTTTCTTGCTCAAGTACAGCTTTAATACGGGCCTTTTCAATTCCCCCTCATAAAAAAGAAAAAAAAAAAACCAAAAGAAATCGGCTCGGGGATTTAATTTAAGGAACAGTCAGTATTTATCCCCCCCCCCCCCCAAAAAAAAAAAAAACGCTGAACATTATCAACAATTTTACCTCGTGTTTTTTTTTTTTTTTGTATCTACTTTACCAGTTTTGTTTTTAGACTGCCAGGCGCCATGAATATCTGACTCGACCGAGAAAGCTACACCGGGCGAACCTGTCGTGACAGCTTTTTGAAATATACGCTATATATAAAATATATATTGATATATATATGCAGAAGAACTGAAGTGTGTGCGTGCAGAGCTTGGGTCGACGCTAAAGGTGCTCGATCAACCCAGCACCCATAGCACTGGCTGCATGGCCACAGAAAGCTGCCCCTGAGTAGGGTCATAAGGTGCGCAAGCAATATTGACAATAGCAGCCTCACATGTCCCTGGCTCAGCGGAGAGTCGCCCATTTTCAGCAACCTGATCGCACTTGACCTTGCTGACTCCCAAGACCTCCTTCGGCTCGGCGTGTTCTCCCGAAATGTGCAGGACACCGAAGCCAACGTCGTGGCCGGGACTCGTTTGGAACTTCCACGACAGGGTTAATCCTTCGCTGTCTACCTTCACGGGTACATCCATTTTCTGTCCACGTTCCAGGAAACAGGTGGTGGCACTGGGGTCCTCGGAAACGCGAGGGTCGCTCTTGAGGTAGAAGTTTACGGGCACCTCGCCTCCAGCTGGAACCTGCGGTCATTCTCGTGTTAATACAAGAGGTGCTTTCCAGCGAAGCCCCTTTAATCCCAGAAATTCGTTCGCTCATCTGTCCGTCCCCTCCGTGCATTTTCCTGCTTAACATAACAGAAAAATATTGTGCGTGACCATACTCCACGCAACTTAAACACCACTAGTTTTCTCGCTAACTTTGAAATTGACGTAATGTTTGGAGGTGGGCTAGTCGGTGGTGCATTGTAAACATAGAAATAATACAGCGCAAGCGAACACAAGGACAAGTAGAAGAAGGGACACAGACACAGCGCTGACTCACGACTTGCTTTCTTTGTCATCTTTTTAAAACATATCAACATAAGAAAACAAGACAGGAAAAATAAAAGAAGAAGAATCCAGCATGTAAGACATCCTCTCTGTCATATGCCATCTGAGGAATTTTTCACAGAAACTATACATTATATACCATTACAAAAAAGAACAAATTAAAAAAAAGAAGGAAGTAAATAGTAGGAAAAGAAATAACTATACATCATTCCACCTCAGGTCTGAGCAAAGCCAAAAACCACAGCGCGAGCCCTAATGCTCTGTGCGTACCTGTCTTGCACGCGGCCTCTTGGTATGTCGGCACCCTTTTCTGGCTACCTGTAGGCACGCGCCTGTGGTTATAGGATCACTCCCTTGGAAGCAGAAAGAACGTATTAAACAAACGTGCCCAAACTCCGAAGAAACTCGAACTCTTCACTGTATAACGTCACTGACTCTGAACTGCCGCATAGATCGGGACCGTGTTGTCGAATGTAAAACGCTTCATGAATTTCCCTTGCCATTTTTTGTGAATGTTTAGCCAAAATTTCAATGTCACATGACCGAGGGGAACAACCACACCTATCACAATGAATGGCTAGGTGACCCGAAGGTGAAGACCCCAAAGACAGATAACGCTCCCGAGCTCGAACATTAATACATCTGCCCGTCTGCCCAATATACACTTTACCACATGAAAATGGTATTTTATAAACGACCCCCACAGCACAAGCTACATATTTGATGCGATGGTTTATTCCACACCCTACACGCTGAAGTCCTGCTCTCTCAATGGACGCACACAAACGAGATAACTTGGAAGGTGCTGAAAAGACTATGGGAACTTCGTATTTAACAGCCACTTTTTTGATTCTGTGGGAAAAACTGTGCAAATATGGTATTACCACCGGTCGAGAGGCAGGCTTTTGTCTAACATTGTCAAGTATGTTAAGGGGATTCCTGAATAATTTTAAAAGTGACTCCGCTACCCCCACTATGACAAGTTTCGGGAAATCCGCTTTTGTTAACCTATCGACTTGAGACAGAAAGCTGTTGAAACTTCTGTGAACACATGGTTGCAATAAAGAAGCTCTCAAACATGATTTTGCAATAGCTCTTTTTACAACTTTTGAGTGCGTAGATTCATAGCTAAGGAGGGACTTTTTTGTTCTAGGCTCATAAGCCCAGCACAGGTGACTTGTTTCAAGACGAATGTTGAGGTCCAAAAATTGCAAAGCTTTTTTAGTTGGAACCTCATTCGTAAACCGCAGACCTCCAAAGCACTCCCGAAAGGTGTCTAATACCTCTGAGACCAAGTCAGCACTTCGTGAGCCCTGCTTAGGTTTAAACACCACCAGGTAATCGTCAACATACCTGAAGACTTTCAAAAAAACGATCATCTAACCTTTCTGCAATAGCACAATCACAACCTGCTAGGTAGATGTCACTCAATATGGGAGCAACACTAGACCCAATGCAGATCCCGGATTTTCGCAGAAACGTGTTGCCCTCAAAAGAAATAAAAGTATAACTAAAAGTATAACTTAAGTAAAAGCGGAGAAGATCAAAAAACTTTTCCACAGCAATACCAGTCGAATTCTGGAAGGCAACAGAACCGTTTAAGTCAATGCAAAGTTGAACCGCTTCAATGAGACCTCCATGAGGAATAAAGTAGAAAAGGTCTTCCACGTCAATCGAAACCAGATCACAAGTTCCAGGGTTGTCATTGCTTAGATAATCTACCAATTCTTGAGAGTTTCGAATTAAAAAAGGATCAGTTAACTTCAAAGAAGATAGGTGATGCTGGAGATACTTCGAGACATGCGGCTACCATGACTCTCTCTGTGTAACGATCGCCCTGAACGACATATTGTCCTTATGGGTCTTCACAGAGAAGAAAACCTCCAGATTGAGACCACGAGCCGCCAGGACAGACTTCCAGAGCCTTTCTAAACCAAACTGCTTACAAAGTTGCTCAGCACGCGTCTTCACCTTGCCCAGGACCACATCTGGAACAGGTTTGAAATTTTTCGACGCGGCTTGTGTAGACTTTTCCTTAAATATATGTTCTGGCACAACTACAAATCCTCCCTCCTTATCTGAAACCAGCAGCTTTAACCCAAAGTATGCTACTGAGCGCCTAGTGAAGCCCCCGGAAATGCTCTCCCTTGTGAGACGGATAGCTGAGAAGACTGTTGCTGAGAAAAAAGACATGTGTATCCTAGACTGTGTAGAAAGCTTACGTAGGAACACCAGGAAATCTGTACATCGATTTCATTTAGGCCCTATTGTTTCTTTTTTCAAAGACTGTAGGTTAAAGCTGCTAGTTTCAGATATGGAGGGAGGATTTGTAGTTGTGTCAGAACATATATTTAAGGAAACTCTACACAAGCCGTGTCGAAAAATTTCAAACCTGTTCCAGATGTGGTCCTGGGCAAGGTGGAGACGCGTGCTGAGCAACTTTGTAAGCAGCTTGGTTTAGAAAGGCTCTGGAAGTCTGCCCAGGCGGCTCGTCGTCTCAATCTGGAGGTTTTCTGCTCTGTGAAGACCCATAAGGACACTATGCAGTTCAGGGCGATGGTTACACAGAGAGAGTCATGGCAGCTGCATGTCTCGAAGTATCTCCAGCATCACCTATCTTCTTTGAAGTTAACTGATCCTTTTTTAATTCGAAACTCTCAAGAATTGGTAGATTATCTAAGCAATGAAAACCCTGGAACTTGTGATCTGGTTTCGATTGACGTGGAAGACCTTTTCTACTCTATTCCTTATGGAGGTCTCATTGAAGCGGTTCAACTTTGCATTAACTTAAACGGTTCTGTTGCCTTCCAGAACTCGGCTGGTATTGCTGTGGAAACGTTTTTGGATCTTCTCCGCTTTTACTTAAATTCTACTTTTATTTTATTTTTGGGCAACACGTTTCTGCAAAACTCCGGGATCTGCATTGGGTCTAGTGTTGCTCCCACATTGAGTGACATCTACCTAGCAGGTTGTGATTGTGCTATTGCAGAAAGGTTAGATGACCGTTTTTTGAAAGTCTTCAGGTATGTTGACGATTACCTGGTGGTGTTTAAACCTAAGCAGGGCTCACGAAGTGCTGACTTTGTCTCAGAGTTATTAGACACCTTTTGGGAGTGCTCTGGAGGTCTGCGGTTTACGAATGAGTTTCCAACTAAAAAAGCTTTGCAATTTTTGCACCTCAACATTCGTCTTGAAACAAGTCACCTGTGCTGGGCTTATGAGCCTAGAACAAAAAATTCCCTTCTTAGCTATGAATCTACGCACTCAAAAGTTGTAAAAAGAGCTATTGCAAAATTATGTTTGAGAGCTTCTTTATTGAAACCCTGTGTTCACAGAAGTTTCAACAGCTTTCTGGCTCAAGTCGATAGGTTAACAAAAGCGGGTTTCCCGAAACTTGTCATAGTGGGGGTAGCGGAGTCACTTTTAAGATTATTCAGGAATCCCCTTAACATACTTGACAACGCTAGACAAAAGCCTGCCTCTTGACCGGTGGTAATACCATATTTGCACAGTTTTTCCCAAACGATCAAAAAAGTGGCTGTTAAATACGAAGATCCCATAGTCTTTTCAGCACCTTCCAAGTTATCTCGTTTCTGTGCCTCCATTGAGAGAGCAGGACTTCAGCGTGTAGGGTGTGGAATAAACCATTGCATCAAATATGTAGCTTGTGCTGTGGGGGTCGTTTATAAAATACCCTTTTCATGTGGTAAAGTGTATATTGGGCAGACGGGCAGATGTATTAATGTTCAAGCTCGGGAGCATTATCTGTCTTTGAGGTCTTCACCTTCGGGTCACCTAGCCATTCATTGTGATAGGTGTGGTTGTTCCCCTCGGTCATGTGACATTGAAATTTTGACTAAACATTCACAAAAAATGGCAAGGGAAATTCATGAAGCGTTTTACATTCGACAACACGGTCCCGATCTATGCGGCAGTTCAGAGTCAATGACGTTATACAGTGAAGAGTTCGAGTTTCTTCGGAGTTTGGGCACGTGTGTTTAATACTTTCTTTCTGCTTTCATGGGAGTGATCCTATAACCACAGGCGCGTGCCTACATGCAGCCAGAAAAGGGTGCCGACATACCAAGAGGCCACGTGCAAGACAGGTACGCACAGAGCATTAGGGCTCGCGCTGTGGTTTTTGGCGTTGCTGAGACCTGAGTTGGAATGATGTATAGTTATATGTATTCCTACTATTTACTTCCTTCTTTTGTAATTTGTTTTTTCTTTTGTAATGGTATATCATGTATAGTTTCTGTAAAAGATTCCTCATATGGCATATGACAGAGAGGATGTCCTACATGCTGGATTCTTCTTCTTTTATCTTTCATTTCTTGTTTTCTTATGTTGATATGTTCTAAAAAGATGAGAAAGAAAGTAAGTCGTGAGTCAGCGATGTGTCTGTGTCCCTTCTTCTACTTGTCCTTGTGTTCGTTTGCGCTGTTTTATTTCTGTTTGAAATTGACGTCATATGAGTTTAACACCGATACATTTTCCCCGCTAGATTTAGAGCGGTAATCGATGTCGCATGACCTATACACCAATTTCATTTCCTCTCAAAATATGGCGGGCATACTGACGTCACGTGACCAATATACATAATCACTTTTCTCGGTAAATACATTGAAGAGGTTGGCGTCAGCTAATACATACACCAATTTAATTTCCTCGCTAAATTTAGCCAGAAAATTTGCCAAGTGACCTATATACAAATTTTTTGGTTCGCAGGGCCTTCGTCCCGCAAAATATTGTAATGAAGGCGTTCTACTCAACTGTGCTTTTTCTAAAAAAGCAAAACAAGATTCATGTCATTGACTAGTATGTAAGTGATCCTTGGTTATGCTAAAGACATTCATGTCAGCTCGGAGTAAAATTTCTTCTATATATTTACTGATATGGGATCAAAGGTTAGTCAGTCACTCGTTACGAAAAAATGTAATCAATCTCACTTCTCTATTGAAACAGTCAGTGTTTCATTAATTAGTATGTTGCGTGATTTTGAAAGCGCTTCAAATTATTCGACTTAATTCTATTGTTACTCGTGCAATTACAATGTGCTATTTGATTCTTGGGGCGTGATACCTTAATTTAGATGTATTTGTACTTAAAATGCAACATCTCAAACACAAGGGCATATTTGCTGAGCTGTGCAATTGCGCTGACTGAGCAGCACTGAGGAATTTTCGTTCGACACAATGGGAGAAAACGCGTGATAAGGGGCAACATATTAAACCTACTTTTTAACATCCGTATAAAAAATTCAACGGGATCTCATCCAGACTCACCTATTACCCATATTTTACAATAGACGCTCGGCCTTTTCGCATAAGAAAAAACACGTACATGAAAAACAAGTATGATAGGAAGACATTCATGCAGCGGCAGATGTTATAATGAGCCGTTAAAACGAAGAGATCGCCACATGGTTGAAACTCCACGTAGGGCATCTTGAAAGAATATGCGGAATGGAGTGTATTTTTTATCAAAACTCAAAAAAGACGGTGGCAGTTTCTAAATGCAGATTGTTCACACCTGGGATTTTACCATATGCAATAAGTCGTCACCACATCAACGAGTGTCTAATTAACAAAATGTAAGGGCGCAAACCAGCTGGTGTACGTTGCACATGGTTGAAAAAAACCCGAGTTGTTAGTGTTGTGCCGTTTACCCCGCAGTCTCGGTTTCTTTTTTAACCATGTCTAATTCTCACTTGGTAACCCAAGAACGAAGGAAAGGCGGACGGACTACACAAAGCTCCAAACACAACTCAGCGCTCCTGTGGTGACATGTCAGTATTGAACCAGCTGACTTGCACACTTGCTTTAGTTTTCCCAATTCGCAGCTAAAATTACTACTAAAAGTTGTTTTACAAATTCGTTTTTTTAATTATTGCATCGTAAACCCTTTCGTATCAATGGCCTTCATTCGACATAAAAAGTAGACACGTCCAGAGACTCAACTTCAAGTTTTTTCAACTTTCAACTTAAATTTTTCTCTCCTGGGGAGAAGGGGAGGGAGGAATAAAACAGACTGTTGTCGCTTGATTGAGTTTATCCTCCTATAAATTAGGAACATTTTTACAGGTCGAAGGCCCCATTAAAATAGGCACAGATAAAGCTTGACAAACACAGTATGAATATCATTTCTGCTCAAACTCATCAAATACGTGCCAAATATATGTGAGACTCTACGAGAACTGCAGCTTCTGGAAGCTGTAGCGCGTTCTCGAGCTAGGCGCTGACCGCCTGTCAACACAACGGCTTGCATATGCTGGCACCCCTCGCTTCATATTGGGGATCGATAAAAAAAAACAGGTTGATTTTGAATTAGAGACGTTTAAAATGTTAGAAGAAATTTATAATGGTAATGCTCTGTAATTGCAACTATGTGAAGGTTTTTGAAGAGTTAAATTGAGTGAGCATTGAACGCCGCATTTCCCATAATTCGGATGATTCTCTCCCGGAACGCAGGCAAGTGATTCATATTTGTATTCGTTGTGCTACCCCAAACAAGGAAGCAGTAATTATAAGAAGAGTAAAAGGCGGAGTTATAAAAAAGGACTAAGACCGAAAGGGGTAATATATGTCGGCATTTATGAGTAATGCCAAAAACTTTTGAAAATCTGCCAGCTATAGATTGTACTTCGGTGTCCGGGCTCAGGTACTCATTAACTATCACACCAAGAACCTTCACATCTCGTACAAAATCAATTATTTGTCTTTGAAGAGAGGGACCTTCACTAGATGAAAACAGTTATTTTTGGATCGAAAATGATTGTTCTCGTCTAATCTGTATTAATTACTAAGAGTTCAAGACTGTCCAGCCATTTATCTTCGGCAGAACGCTATTTACCGCGCATAAAACCTGGTGGACAACTTCACCTGAAAAAATAAAGTTGTGTCGTCTGCGTAAATTATAAACTCTGTACTGATTTCTATATTTACTAGATCATTTATGTATAAGTTAAACAGAAGGGAGTTCAAGGACGCTCCCTTGCGGCACATCTGACGTCACTTCCCTCAAAATAGATCGGCGACTATCTATCACAACACACTAAAGTCAATACTTAAAAAAAAATGCTTTGACTATTGTTGAGATTACTTCTTCCATCCCGTACGCATATCATTTTAGAAGCAGAGTTTTATGGTTTAGACGATCGAAAGCCTTTTAGAAAGCAACGAAGGTGTTCAAAGTAATCAATGTTTTTTTCGGTAGTGTTTAAAATTAGTTATTTTTTGTTTTAATAGCGCGAGTTTCGTTTAATTCTCCTTCAAAAGAGCAAACTGGCAGGATGTTAGAAGAGAGTATTTTCCACACAAGCTGGGTATAATCTGGCGTGTATTATTTTCTCTAGCACCTTTTGAAACACTAAGATCACAAAAACGGGTCAATGATTTCCTAGGTTGTTTTTAGTCTCAGACTTCAAAATAACCGCAATCTTAGCGACTTCCACTGTTTTAGGAAAATGGCTATTTTGAAGTAGCAAATTAAAAATATATATTAAAAGAGGAGAAATTCATTTAGTTAGACGTTTCAGTGGTTTTAATTAAGCATCATAAATGTCAGTACATTTATTGATTCTAAGATTCCTGAAAACTGCTGCCATTTTCTTTGCGTCAGGGGGGGGGGGGGGGGGGGGGGGGCAAAACAATAGTGTGCCAGAGACGCCGTTTACAAATTGAAATTCATCGGCACCGTTATCATTCCTTACAATGTTTACAAAATAGTTATTAACTACTTAACCTTACGCAAACCGCATATAGTCCTCCCCCCCCCCCCCCCCCCCCCCCCCCCGTCCCAATGCTAAGCTTGGTGGCTGGAGATTCGAGGAGGCCACGTCTCAGGAATCGAGTTAGGGTTTTTTATAGAATATCTATTTGTCGCTCATTTTCAGACGCAGCATAAAATAATGCAGGATTAGCCTGACGTGAAGCGCTTGTCACAGCATTTTTCTGCTTTTCAAATAATGCCATCACATCTGGTTTTCTGCATTTTTTTAACTTTTTGTACATAGTGTCTTCTTTACTCATCTATTTTAATATATCCTTGGTCACCCAGGGCTTCCAAGCTTTCCTGGCAGTTTTTTTGTGTCCTTTACGGGAAGCACTCTTCAAATATATATATATGTTTAAAATCCCATTAAAGTACTTATATACCTCATCAGCTGAAACACTAGACAACACCCTGCTCCAACCAGTACGGCAAATATCAGCTTCAAAGCATCTATATTTTTTCACTGATATTTTGATTATAAGCTGGGCAGTCGCCTCCGTCTTTTTGTATCCCGACTATCGAGTTGACAAATATGTAATTGGGTAGGTGCTTACTTATCGTTCTTCCAATGACACCTCCCGACACGTGAGATTCGTCGGCATTGGTTAGAAACAAAACAAGTTATGTTTCTTTCAAATGAGGGTTTCGCGTGGGTTTAGAGATTGGGTTAAAGTATTCTTACTACTGATATAAGAAAAACAAATGCAGGAGCCTCGGCGATTAGGAGAAAATTTTAAGGTTTAAATCTTCACCCAAGAACAAAATGGACCATTTTCACCAATAAACGCGAACAAATTGTCAATTATTTTAGAAACGCTGAAGTGGGTACGGAGAGCCAGTTTGTTTTCGAACGTTATGGTCCTTCTGCTTCGGCGAACTCATAGTTCTACCGACTGTACGAATATAAATCAAACAAAATATTTTCCCTCAATTTTGTAAGTCGTGATACACTAATACTTTTTACCAAGTGGGTGCACTCTCTGTCGCCGTCAGGTCCCACCAGGTCTCCTCCCCAATGAGCAGGTAGCTGGGAGGGGTCCACGCACTTCAACAGAACCGGCTGCCACCCTTCTACAGGAGCGAGAAGTATTTTATGGATTTGGCAAAAAAAGAGCCAGAGTAGACGCCGAAACTACCATAAAAAAAATAAGCTTTGTCAGACAGGGGTTTTATTTGAAAAACACACTGTGGAATTATCGTTAGGCTTAGTGATGTAAAAGAGGGAGTCGTTCAACCCAATTACGAATTGTCCCTGGAAAATGCTGTCCTCACAATTTTTGTCAAGCGAGGCTTCACGAAAACAAGTACCGTCCAAACCGAACAATCTGGAGTTGTAGGCTAAACTGGGCTTGTATTTTAGGGAATATATTCGTTTTGAGCGCAGTTTGTATTATTTAATTTGTTGTAATCTCAACATCACATCCTCATTTGTAACACAGGGAAAATTATAATGCCAAAATCTGTCTAATCAGAGAGAAGTGTGTGAGTGTCGACAAATGGGAACTTTAATTACTTCATTTGTGATGCAACTGGCAATCACGCACACACAAAAGCTCTAAGGTAATAATTGGAGACCGTGAAAGCACACGTGCAACCAAGACTTCATCAACAGAAGCACACCAAAATATTAGTTCGAAAAGTCGTGAATCTCAGGAAACCACAACCTTCCTTTACATTCGGTCTAAAAATCTCTCCGCCATATCATGGCTCAACCGCAGCTCCGCAGCCCCCCGCGTCTCGTTATTTTTCCCTTTCTCATCACCTCTGCTACTCGTGCAACATAAGATAACATGATTCATGCAGCATTTAGCCTTCACCGGCTGCGTTCACATTGACGCAGTTCACATTGCCCATGCCTATACACCGGAAAGGTACGCCAGGACACTTCATCATTTCTGTACCTGTTGAGGGTACATCTAAAATAGATAGAAGTCCTCGTTTATGCATAAACAATTATAAGTCTTCTCTGCACGAAAACGGCTTACACGAAACTTCTAAAGACAAAGAAATTATATGCGCTTAGCTTCTTACCGCGTGAAAATATTTGAATCTTTCCAGCTGTTCTTTCAGTCAAGAAGGGTCTGATGAACTTCCAGAAGATCTTAAAGAAGCTTGGAACTGCCGAGAGTGTTGCAAACGAAAGAAAAAACAAACGTTAGTCGTTTCTTAACTTCGAACTGTTCGGAGGTATGCGCTAAAAGTGCTGTTGTTTTTTTTTTCTGCGGAGATATGTTTGCCATATAATGTCTGCCGTGTCTTTCCTGCATTTTATTTTACAACAAATGCGAGCGAAGAAAAAAGCTAAAAAAGCGAGGACAATGCTCCGAGCAAGCCTGCTATGAACGCTCGCTTGTGAACTGAAAGGGGGGGGGGGGGGGGGGGGGGAATCGGAGGCCAAGTGAGCTAGCGGACACCAGCTCGGAGAACGTGGAGCGAAAGCTCGCGCTGCAGAGCCCAGAGATCCTGGGTTCAATCAACACCCCTGCCCGTTTCAATCTGCCTGTCTATGCTGGAAAAAGCGGTGGAGAAACTGAATCGTGACGTCGCCGGTGGGAGGAGCCTAATCTCCATCGCCAACAAACTACATCGGAAGAGAACTGCACCGTGAAGTGTCCGGTGACGTCGCCGAACAGTGGCGATTGAGTTGAAACTACATCGTTCTTTTTTTCCCTACAGGGAATTTCGGAGAATCGCCGAGTAGGCTCGCGCACACCAGCTCGGAGCACGTGGAGCGAAAGCTCGCGCTGCAGAACCCCGGGATCGTGGGTTCAATCCCCGCTCCTGCCCGTTTCGATCTGTTGGATGAGCATCTTACCGGCGTGCGGTCGTGTACTGCGTGATGCATGTTAAAGACCCCGGGCTGGCAGTCGTACTGCACTGGCTAAGTTGCTTATCTACAGTGGGTAACAATGTCGCCATGTTCAGGCAGACTAACCTCCTGCTGTATAAACAACTAACGACAAATTTTACTTGTTGGCTATGTTTGAGTGCGTTAGTGCAACTTCTCTCGTGCTGCACGAGAAAGAAAAAATGTTCCTTCGGGGGTTAAATTTTCGGTGAAGTAGTAAGCAAAAAAGAAGAAAAGAGAATATTTCTCTCAATTTGGGTTCGTAGTAGAAGAGGGGGAAGAAGAAAATCAGTTGTTAGTCCCACGGTGTGTATGGTCTTTTCTTTATGTGTATGTTTATTCTAGTTCAGCTGGCCTGACCTGAAGTAGTTGCTTTAAAATAAAGCATATATCTCTCTCTATCCACCTGAAGTATGAACGAACTAGCTCAACTTAAGCCTGTTGCCGTTGCTTGCTTGGCATTTCGCTCAGCCAAATCACTTATATGGGGTGCACTCAAATGAAAACACAATCGTGTTATATCGTGTAAGAGTATTTAGAACATTTATCGATGACGCCGCTGAACTTGCATCGCTCGAAGGACTTCCTTTTTGTGAGCGCCTTCTCTGCTTGAGTTTGTTGGAAACACAGCCACTTCGATCCGACGCAATCGATGATAGCGTTGGTGACATCAACAAGTACGCGACTCACAGAGCACTAGAGAACACCAATGTTTTCGTTGCTCCCGACGGTTCCCTGGAAGCCACCAGCGGCGTAAAAGCGTAGAGCTGCGAGGACTTGTTGTTCGACCGTCAGCACACGGGGCCCTTCAAGACAACGCTGGAGCTTTCCGCGAAGCTGGTCACGCAGCCAGCGAGTCACCCCTTTGGTCAGCCGGTATTTGCCCACAAATCTCACATCGCTCGCCTCGAAAGCATCCCGGTGATCTCTAAAATCTCGATCCGCTGGCGAACCCAACAGTAGAGATGCATATGTTAAAGTCGCCATTTTTTTACGATGCAGATTGATCTTTGGCTTCGCGTCGACCACTCAGTTAACTGCATCGTCAAAGTGCATCGTGACGACATTTTGACGTCACCACCAACTGCATCGTTTTACGAGCATAGCTCGAACTGCATAGGGAAAAACTACATTTCAACGTCATGTCACGTGACCCGAGAGAAGAGCCAATCAGTGCCCGATGCAGTTATCTACATCATTCAGTTTGCGTTCCAGCATAGATAGACTGGTTAAGAATCGTACCGGCGTGCGATCGTGTATGACTACTGCGTGATGCACGTGAAAGATCCCAGGCTAGCGGTTGTACTGCACTGGCTAAATGTCTCATCGACAGCTGAGGGACAAGTTGTCCGTTGAGGCAGACTAAGCTCTAGGCAGTATAATCTTACCCACACCGCAATATTTTTGTCAACTTAAAGCGTCAGTCCAAACCCCGTGCCCGGGTTTGTAGTATCGGCATTCAAAAGTCTATAAAACAACGCTGGCGGCAATAACATTTCTGTAATCACTACCTACGCAAAGCGTAGGATTGGTTCCGAGTTCACGCCGAACGCTGATCCAACACTCATGTCTAATAATGCTCAAAGTGGATGCCCAATAAATAGCTAGCATATATAATCGACGCAGCTGCTACTAAGACAACATTCTTTCAAAAAGAACCTATTGTGAGCCTGCCAAAGTTAATTGCAAGCGTACGTCGCACTTACATTCTAGTATGGGGCACCGTAATGACGTATTCTCTGGTAATAGGCAAGTCACTGGTTGTTTATTCATGCATGCTCATCAAATCGAGATGAACAACTATGTTGGGATACAAAAAAATTAAGAAGAAACTTTGGTGCATGGGATGGATCCCACCTCTACTTGAATACATGTTAACACAACAACTAACGACATAGCTTGTCATTCAAGCATAGCACCAGGCTGTGAAAGCAGATCAGCGTTTATGAACACCCCACGCACTTATCTTCTCGTATAATACGGTTATTTCTAACCGCCGTACTCGACGAAATAACTTTAAAACGTTTTCAGGCAGATACAGTTCTAACAACAAAATACTTTGAGTGCAGTCACGCTTGTATTTTAGAAACCAACGAGTACAGGACTTCGCCATTCGCGAGGCTCAGTCTAATAGAACCTCTCTTTATAAGCCACCTGTAATTCACTTGAGGTGTACGGTACGTTCACGTGCAACTATGAGGCGCCTCTGAGCGATAGCGCATAAATCACAGAATGGTTGCTTATTCAATTGTTTCTACCCTTCCGACGATGGGATGCGATCGGTGTCATTTTCCACAAAGTTTTTGGGACATAGCGCGGATTGCAGCGTAAAAGTAAGAACAAGCAGGTTTGCTCTCTGGAGCCATCCCATTGGGTCATGCTCTTACTACACCATGAATGTATAAATAGATGGAGCCGTAATAAACCAAAATGTTTTGAAAATGTAAGTTCAGTTAACTTACGAAATGGCGCTGAAATGATGTGATAAAAAAGTGGTTAAGTTAAAACATGCACAAATTATTATTTGCAATGACGTATAAGTTATTAAACATTCATGACACCAAAATACAGACGGCTACTATAAAAAGCCCCCATATCTACGTCCATACAGTGCGTGCGATGAGTCCGTAATCCTAATTCATGAAAGTCACATAGCTTAAAATAATAGTGTGAGAAACGTTGTAACCAGACGTTGCAACTTGTGCTGGGACAGAGCGTGCGTGAAACATTTGGTTCAAAACCCAGATTAAATCACATTTGAGGATAGAACAGTATACGAGGCTGATAATTTATAAATCAAACAAGAGAAATCGCAGGGAAACGACATCGTCTAGATTTGCAAGAGAGTTTGCACTGGCGTACACTTAGACGCCTCGCTGGCAGTAAGAATTTGGTTACTGCTGAAAAGGAGCAATTTATTATAATATTATTGCCTGTTTTTTCCGAGGGGAGAATTTGATCACTGTTTTGGGCAACGAAACCCCAGACCGTAGCGAACAACTTTTTTAGGCGTGCCAACTTCATACTATTTCAACCTTATATTAACGCGCGGAGGACGTACTGCATTGACAATATTTTGCAACACTGCCACCATCTTAATTCAAACCGGAGTGATTAAACCGAGTGTCAAGGTTCTAACGACTAACAAAAGTATTCCTAAGAGCAAGCCTGAAAACACCAGCGTCATGTAATTATATGGAAGTTTATAGTCAAAAACAGGAGACTTTCACTAGCATGATGCTTAACTCACCGTTAATGACGAAACATTGTTCAAGCATCTCAGGGTAGTAACTTTCGTAGAGTACCATGATGAGATAAACGAACTCGACCACTGAAAAGAAAAGAGACTGTCATGAACGTCAAAATGCATTCCATAGCCGGTAACATTTTAAGTATTTACCTTGGTGACTGTACACTTGTCGGATGCCAAAGTTGTCGAAGTCAAAAACGACGGTAATGGTATCCACGAGCTTCCCCAGCTGTAACAAAATATTGGCAGCAAAGACGCTGAGTTCAGGATATACCAACTCACCACATATCAGTGTCCTGCGGTGCAAAGCGAAAAGAGTGCTCTTTCAAAAGCGATATAAATGTCCAAGCGTCAAAAGAAACTCTATTTTAAATATTCACTAATATACAAAACTGACGAAAAACAAGGTATATTTAGCGGAAACAAATTAGGACGGCAATCGGTGGCATCAAGATACCTGCGATCTCAATAAGCTGTTCTTATGCCCTTTGCGATAAGTGTGGAAACAAATAAGTTTGTCTCTTTGGCAGCCATCTCTTCCCAAGAATTCTTGAAAACAACACACTTTTGCACTGAACCCTTACTTTAGTTTCGTCACTCTTATCCAGCTCGCTTGCACCTTTCCATTTTATTGGATTATAATAATAACCTTAAATTGCAAGCTTCACCCTCGTTGGTGTAGACTGGTGGCGGCTGATAAAACCCGTTTGCTCTACTGACGTCTAACTCCTGGTTAGCTCAGTTGGTAGAGCGTTCCACCTGTAATGGAGAGGTCCCGGGTTCGATACCCGAACTAGGCGGATTTTTTCGGTCGCGCACCAGTCGCCTAGCTGTGTTTGGAGATTTGTGTTGTCCTTTGTCCCTCTTGTTCCCCTTCTCCAGGGATTATTTTCGTCACTCTTATCCAGCTCGCTTGCACCTTTGCATTTTATTGGATTATAATAATAACCTTAAATTGCAAGCTTCACCCTCGTTGGTGTAGACTGGTGGCGGCTGATAAAACCCGTTTGCTCTACTGACGGCTAACCCCTGGTTAGCTCAGTTGATAGACCGCTCCACCTGTAATGGAGAGGTCCCGGGATCGATACCCGGACCAGGCGGATTTTTTCGGTCGCGCACTAGTCACCTAGCTGTCTTGGGAGATTTGTGTTTGTCCTTTGTCCCTTTTGTTCCCCTTCTTCAGGGATTATTTTCGTCATGCTTATCCAGTTCGCTTGCACCTTTGCATTTAATTGCATTATAATAATCTTCATTGACTTCTCCAAAGCATTCGACAAGGTCCCTCATCAAGGTTTTTTAATGAAACTAAGAGATATTAATTTTGACCCCTCTGTAGTCAATTGGATTTCTGAATTCCTCACTAATCGCACTCAGTACAGTTATATTAACAATGTAAAATTTACCAAAACCACAGTAACGTCCCTCAGACAACCATTCTTGGCCCTCTTCTTTTTCTAATCTACATTAATGATCACCATGGCATCACTTCGGAAGTACGTTTGTTCGCCGATGACTGTGTCATCTATAGACCGATTCATTCACGCCACGATCAACTTAGCTTGCAGAACGATCTCCGACTTATAATTCAGTGGTGTCATAAATGGCAGATTGCTTTAAACTATAATAAATGTAAATCGCCAGTTTCTCCCGCAGATCACATGTTCTATCCTCCTCTTACCACCTTTTTAGCATCCCACAACTGCTTGTTCATCGTATAAATATCTAGTAATTAATTTGACATCTGACCTGTCATGGACCCCTCACATAATATCTGTCATCGCCGATGCTAACGGCACTCTCGGATTTTTTCGCCGTAACCTCAGACAAGCTACATCCCCAGTAAAACAACTACCTTGGTCAGAACTAAGCTAGAATTCACTTCTTCCATATGGTCACCGTGGCAGACATATTTAACTAACAACCTGGAATCCGTTCAAAGCAGAGCCCTCCGTATTAGTTATTCCGACTATTCGCCTTACGCAAGCGTATCAGGATTTCGCCAATCCGCTACCCTACTGAAAAAAACAAAAAAAAACATTTATTTATTATTTATTTATTCCATAGAGGGGGGTGTCGTGTAAACGTTTACATAATCATACAATATTTCACAAGAAAAAAATAGAAGACATCGTGTCACGCTAAACAGAACCATGAGGGGAAGACATTACATAACAAAAAAAGCCAGACACGCACTCACATCATTGGAGGTAGTCGACCTGCTAGAAAAAAAGAAATAGACCCAGCGAGCGAGTAACAAACATACAGGGCAATATATGATTCATTCACACTAAAGATTCACGCAATAACAACATAAATGTATCATGATCAGTGTCCGTCGCAATTTCGCTTGCCAACTCATTCCATTCGGTCGCCGCTTGTACGAACGGGGAGTATTTAAACAGATTAGTTCCTGCAAATGGAATATGAACTTTGTAACAATGATCATGACGAGGGGAAATGCGAGCCAGTGGGAGAATGTTGTTTTGACGGAAATCTGAGGTACTATGATAGAGTTTATGAAAATAGGATAACCTTGCGAGGTATCTTCGCTGGTGGAGAGTCAATAAACCAAGTGACCTCTTAAGTTGACTGACGCTTATAGGTGCATACGTTTTTAGTATAAACCTGGTGGCCCTGCTTTGTAATGATTCTAAATTATTAATTAAATATTTGTGATGCGGGTTCCAAATTATAGCTGCATATTCCAAATTTGGCCTAATGAGGGTAGAGTATGCAAGTAGTTTTGTTTCTGCTGTTGCCATATATAAACGCCTTCTTAAAAAACCAAGTGACTGGTTAGCCCTCCTAAGGATATAATCTAGATGAGTGTTCCAGGAGAGGTTGGAAGTTAAGTGGACTCCTAAATATTTATATGTGGATACTTTATCTAATTTTGAATCTATAACTTTGTAGTCGTAATGAAAAGATGAGCGACGATTGGTAAATCTCATTATTTTTGTTTTATCTATATGTATCTGCGTTTCCCACGTGTCACACCATGAAAGTATGATATCCAAATCACTTTCAAGAGTTAGGCAGTCGCTTTGACTAGCTATTTGACGGTATACCACACAGTCGTCTGCAAATAGGCGAATCTTTGAAGAACTGTTGTTGGCCCCTATATGAAAGTAAACGGGTTCATACCGGTAACAGTTTAGCCATACCGGTCACCACTTTGCCAAAGGGGTCGCCCGTGTGGCTCAAAGGGGTCCCCCGTATGAACGATAACGGTCACCTATTTGGCCAAACAAGTCACTCCTTTGGCAAACAGGTCGCTTGTCTGGGGAAATGGACGACTCGTTTGGGCAAAGTTGTCGTACGTTTTCTCAAACCGGTGACCATGTTACACAGACGGGTGACCGGTGACCGGCAAACCGTACCGTTTTAATTAAACGGCAAACTGTACCGGTTAATTCAAACTGTACCGGTTTATTCAAACTTTGTTTGAAGCATCCTTTTTTCCTAGAACTACCGCTGAGTGGAATGAGCTTCCTGAAAGCGTTGTAAATTTGAGATCATTAGATACTTTTAGTGAAGCACTACTCTCGCACTTTGTTGAGTAGTGGCTCTGTCTGTTTGTTCGCACTGCTTCCGCTTGTTTTTGAATATTGTTTTTGTACACCTCCTGCCTGGGCGTTCTACAGAATGCTGGCAGTATCACCAAATAAATAAATAAGTTAACTATTGACAACTAAAACTCACTGCCTGACGTAATTGTTTCCTTATCTTACACTCAGAAATTTTCTGCACCCATTAGCTTATTTTTTTCTAACTCATAACTAGATTACAGCGTGTTTTTGTTGATAAATAGTGTTATTTGTTGGTTTTTTGAAGTGCTGACTCCCTCGCACAATTCCCCCTGGGCCTTCAAGCACTAATAAATGATGATGATGATGATGATATGCCGCCGAATGGCGCAACAAAATTAGATTGTTACCCACACACCACATTAAAAATCGTTTTCTTATAAACTAGATAGACAATACTCAGAAATAGTCAATCCCAATCTAGAGAAATGGCTAGGAAAGCACACTGCCTCACTGGAATACACAATTCGACATAATTGCTCACCATGAAAAATACAGAAAACCTCAGAAAATGTTTTTTTCTTTCAAAGAAGTTGCAACTTTAAGCGTTATGTGCCCTTTCTTATGACGTGTTCTTGTACCGCGGTATGAAGTAAAATACACATGTCAGGTTTAAATATTAATTTTATATACAGCTGTTTATGTCGGCGAGATTCAATATAACCCAGCAAGGAGGCATCGAAACGTTTTCAATCGCGTTATAAATAAATAAAAAAATTCTGGGTGAATATGGACACATCTTCTTAGCGGCTCGAAATTGCAATTATTTTATACAAACAACAAATAACGTCACAAAAGGGCTAGAAACTTGGTCTACCTCAAAAAATATTTTAATAATAAGTGAGAATAATACAAAAATCATATGCTTTTTAGTCCCAAAACATAAGATTGTTAATCTTTCTAGCGGCATCATCTTGCACTGTTCCCCCATTGAAATACTAAGTTCTACATTAACTATATTAGTAAGTACATTCCATGAACTAAGCACATAGACGGCATCATTTAAATAATTGCTGGTATCATTGGTTTCCTACATAAACGTTGTTTCCTGCTCCGTTAAGTGTCAAATGACTATTTTACAACACGTTTGTTCTTTTTAATTTCATTTTATTTATAATTGCCTGGTTTGGCATATTACAATAAAACAAATATACATAGAACATTCTTATTGCAAACGAGTGCACTCAGGCTCGTGTAACGTGCCGTACAATTTCCACAGGTGATACACTTTTATTATTTAAATTATTTTTAAAAAAAGCTAACACGACGGATAAGGGCTTAGCGCGAAGTATAGGCAAGGTTATTTTGAAAATAATATGTATTTTTTCTAAATTTGGTATTATTCAGAAAACAAAATTCACAAAAACAGTACACTCGTCAACGGACTTCGGAATGGTAGAAACATCCCCCACAGATTACGACATTCAAATTAATAAAAGGATCTGACCAACAAATACTTTCATCAATTTAAAAATATTAATATAATAAATTATAGCCTATGTAAACTTTGCCAATTATATATTTAAATATATACATTAGCTGTTTTGTTGTTGCCCAGTTTTCCTCTAGGCGAAGCGGAATAAGTTCGCAGTGTAGACATTTCTTCAAAGCATTTTGCAACTATTGTATAAAGCTGAAAGCCTACAATGCTCATAAATTTTAACCTTTTTTCACTTTATTTGTGTTGACATTTATTTTGTTTTGTTGTGCTTTTGTTAAGGGATCTTTTTATTAGAAATAACTTTAGTTTTCTTCACCTCTGTGTACCTGTGACGGGGCAGCGGACCAGTCGAGCTGCTTGGACAGCTTTTTTGCCGTGCCCTACCATATGTATGTACAATACATGGATATGTATTGTGAATAAATTATTACTTATACCTCTTCCTGCTTCTTTTTGCGCCTCTTCGCTGGGCCTAGACCATAGGTCTCACCGTAACTTGGCAAACGGTGAAGGCTACGGTCTCAAGGAGCCAATAAACGCGTCGGAGGGAGACAATAGACTTTTACTCTATCTCACGAGTCGCGCGCAGTGATGGCACAGCCAGGAGCAGGAGACAGAGAAAGCCCTCTTTTGTACAAATTTTGAGCCGCAGCTTAATCCCTTCGGGGGACGAAAGGGACGTCTGAAACACACAAAGAGGATCCGGGTTAAGAGGGGTGTTTCTCTGTTCCTATTCTCTAACTGCTTGGGTTACGGTGTCGCCCTTGTACCCTTGTTTTAAACTATCAAGTGCTTGCCACAATTGCTCTGATTGGCTCTAAGCTGCCGTAGCTTTGCTATTTACCAAGTTACAGGGGAACGAAATCTAGTAAGAAAAGCAGTTTAGATTTTTACTGAACCTCGCCACACTTTTAATTTTTCAAACGTTCCTTAGTTCAATTCGATTACTACAGCTTTACTTGTGGAAGCGTCTTTCCTATATGCTGGAACACTGCCTATCTGTGAACCGGTTTAAAAATATGACTGTCAGGTTATATCTTTAGATGACGTCACCGATGTCAAAATCGTCTTTGGGTTCACCTTTTTGCTTTGCGCCTTCATGTCTGCGATGATCTTTTCAACGATGTATGTGACATGCTTGACCAACGCCTCCTTTGATACGCACTGCAACATTCCTGTGTGAATAAATATCGTTCCTAATGATTTTTGCTTTACAGCTTAACAGGATTTTATTTATTCCTAAATGAGATTGTTAAAAATCCAACGTACACTGTCAAATGAAAAACGGTATTTTCTAACAACAAATATACTGATTCCCGCACTGCCACTTCTCCACCACCAACCATAAGCACCTTGCAATATATTGACATAAGGTGGCGGCTTCTAGATAACGTTTTCGATTAACTTGGACACCACTTTCTTTCCGATAAGCAGCTGAGCCAGCCTGTCTATTTTAGTTTTTCATAAGGTGGACCACGGTGGGGGCTTCGAGCGTACCATTTGATATTGCTATCATTCTCAGTGATATGGGGAAGGAAAAATAACGTGACACGCTCCTGCAGCTTTATTAGCATCTGAGAAATTCTGGCCTGTCAAGGTTTCAATAGGAACTCTCTGGCTCTTCGCTGAGAAGCGTGAAAAGGGAAGATCGTCCGTTGTGATCACTGCTTACGAGAACTCGTCCATTGGCATCATGCTCGGAACTCAGGTAGTCGGTAAAATTGTTTGAATTTAATACAATTAAGGACGTTTTAGAGGTTTTAGGGCCACAAATACAATAGAAAAGTGAGAACGTTCCCAAGACAAAGCAGAGAAGCCATGATGGACTGCCGTAAAGTAATTAGGCCTGTAAAAGCCGGCAATCTTTTACACATGCCTGATAGAATCTTAAGTGTATACGTAGCATGTCAAGCCTGCAGGGCAGTGCATGTTATGGTGACTGGTGGCACATCGAAACCTTCAAACACTAAATAGTTTTATGTTCTGAACAAACAAAAATAAACAAGCACTCAGAGAAATGTATTATTCCACACAAGGAACGTTTTTGGAACTAAAAATATTTGCACCCCTCCCTCTTTCTTACTGTCGAAAGTAACACTTCCTACAGCAGAACAGAGGTGCTTGTACGTCGATTTCGTTGGTCCGCACCACTATACGGTTCACGGGTTCACTGCAACTTGAAATACCTTTGACGAACCTAGCATTGTACGTCTGCGTTAATGTACAGCCAAGAGTAATGTCTTAGTGCTTCCAACAGCGTCTGACTGTTACAGTGCTGCTGAAGTCTTCAATGTTACCTTTGAAGTCCGCGTTGCCGAAACGGATGAGCCAAAAGGGTCGGCCTTCGCGATCACGGTTGCACTGACCGCCAGGAAAGTAGAGCCTCAGCACCTAAAATATCATTTTCGTTTTTACTTAGCTTCAAAGCGTAATCGGATGACCGGCAAATCTGGTGAGCTGTACACAATGTAAAATGTCGCATCCAAATTTCTGTCATCAAGATCAATCGAAATGCTAACCTGATGCAGAAACGGAAAAAAAGACATTGACATATATTTCGGCAAAAGGGAGAGCGCTGACATTAACCAAATTTTGCAGGTGGTCGACTGGAACACTTTATGTTACCTTCGAGCTGGAAAAACACGTATATAAAATTAAGGGAACATCGCAAGAATGAGTTCCTATTATGTAAATACGTGTTGAAATTAGTCTCTTCACTAAAATTTTTGACTAAATTATTGTTTGGATTAAATTTGCATTTGAACTTAAATTTGCATTTGAAAGTCAGAAGTTACGGAATATAAAACAAAGAAAGGAAGATAAATAAACATTGAATATAAGGCTGCGTTTCTTTAATCTCGCAGTTCTTCTATGTCCTATGGAAAAATTTATATATAAAGAACCACCAGCTATTCGTAAAAACGTACTAAGCGCACACGGTTTCGTTTTTTTTTGTCCGCCATAAAATTTTTTTTTTTTTTTGTGAAATGTTCACTGTTCTACTTCTAGCACTCGAAGGAATCTGTTTCCATGTAGTACATAAAAGACGCTCCAGCATGCAGCACATGTTTAATTAATGTACTGCATGCTTGAGCGTTTATCATGTATACATTAAGAAGCATTAATGATCAATGCAAAGTTTGGGAGAAGGCGCCTCAAGCACTAGTGCGAAGTTTCGGACAAATTGCATGTCTCAACTGAAGATGGGGTCTATACATACCACTAATTATTAAAATTAATTCGAAAGAGACACACGCTCACCTCTGGATTTTCGTAAGTCTCGATAATCGAGTCGATATTCTCCCGTTGCCGCCAAAGAATGTTCTAGAATAAAAACAAAAGAAGAACTCAGCTTGGATGTATGCATCAACGAAAACACAAGAAACACATTGAACTAATTCATCTCAAGTTTGCGCCACGGCCTTTACGGGTACTAGTGCAACTTCCATTGGCATGTTTATATACATAGATATTTGTCGCTGCTCTCGAGCCCTCTTTGATTTCTTAAAAGTCACGTGCATCCCGGTTCTTGTTCTTAATATCAAACCTATTGGTTTTTAGGAAAAATGTCCTGATCACTTTATTTTTGAACTGTAATTTTCTACAAAGGTAGTTCTGGGACCAAATGGTAGGCGTTCGATGACGAACTCTCACACAAGAATTGCAGCACCAGTAGAGTAGTAGTTAACCTGATTAGCTACGTGAGAAACAATACGAAATACAAATGACTTCAGCAGAGGGAGCTTTTTGTTCATATTTTATACGGTTTTCGTCGCTAACTTCGTTGCACACATTCAACCGCTACGTTTTAAGCTGAGCTGTCAATATCATGCCCATCCAATTTAAGGTTATTTATCTTGCAAAGAAACAGAAAACGTGAGCGCTAAAAAAATAGCGGTTTACTGTCCAGTGCTTTTTGAAAGTTTACACTAAATTTTATGTGTTTGAAGTAAATATTTCATGGCCATAAATCACCATATTGTTTCGGGAACTACCAAAAGCAATGAGGGTCACAGGTCTGAAGCGGCCGGTAGCAGCCTATGAATTCATCACGTGGTGTCCGTATGTCATGTTTTAGGGATTCTTTCGCTTTACATAAAAGATAAGAGTATACATTTTAGCAAGAAACTTCTTTAATTAGCCGAAGTTTACGCGAAAATTGTCATCAAAATTTGTCACGAAGAATTGCAATGAAGGTATGTCATGTAGGACAGTCCCTTCAAATCCATCGCTAAATACGTACATAGGAGAAATATTGTCACGTGGTGTCCGCGTGCCCTCTAAATTTAGAGGAAAAAACAAAAGTTACGTGAAGAACACGTAACCTCTTGTCACTCGTGTTTTGTTCACTAAATCTAGCAAGAACATTGACGTCACCCTACCACGTCATGTGACCTCAACTCACGTGACGCCACTTTCTGCAAGGTGGTCCTGCGAGGTGGTAGTTTGCGCTCAACACATTCTGCTTATTGGCCTTTGTCGACATGATCGAGCTTCTGTGTTTTTGTATTGACTCCAATATTATCGCAGGTTGAATGCTTATTGTGATTTCTGTGGCGCAGAATACACCATCTACGTGGTAGGTAGGCGTTTGTTTTTTTGATGATAAAGGACATCAACCATTTTTTTTGTTTCAAGGGGCATCTACATTAAGCAATAAGCCAACCAGGCAAGATAGTAACAAAGTAAGCGTTACTTAAATCGAGAGTTCAAAGAAATAGCACATCATTAATCTCATATGGTCGATCTGAGCGTTCATATATCCGTCTTCGTTATCTGTGAGATTACAGCGTGCTACGCACAATGTATGTCTTCTTCGCTGGGTATCTTTTTATAAAGTCTTTCTTGCGTGTCATACTTTTTGTCTTCTTCTTTTGCTGAAAACTTGTCTCTTCTTTTTTAATTGTGCCGAAATAAAGAATTACTGTGTGGGATCATTGTCGCAGGAGCTGTAGAAAGCAGTGTGAATATGACTCGAACGCATTTTGCTTTTTGGGGGCTGCAGAACTCGCAGTTTGAAGAACCCGCCGGGGGCCGAACTCCATCAGTCATCAGTTAATTTGGCCCTCCGTATTAGCCCATTGGAGCTTTGTGTGATGCGGTACACATATTTGAAGAGGAACTGGGTTAATATTATTTTGTGTGATGACTTTATTCACACTAAAATTTTTCCAATAGCAGTTCTCCCGTCCTGATATATTTGAAGTGAACTAAAAACAAAATATTTAAATATTCACTTCCTATCTTTCTCAAGATATTATGCGTTAAATATCTCCCACTGTAAAATAAATATATACGTTTTCCAATAAATAAAAGCATCAAAATGAATTCTGTCAGGTGTTTGAGAGCTGTGGGAGTTGAAACATATTCGTAGATAATATATTGGTATCCTGAAGCTAATATACCCTCACACTCACGTTGCGGTTTTCATCATACGTTGTACAATTTAAAATGAATCTGTATACACCAAAGCGAATTTGGTAAAACTCTTCTATAAACCCAACTATTATTTCGGCACATTTTTAACTTCCGTTAACCCACTCTCTACAATGCTAAATTCGGTGACTTAGCTTTGCTCAACGAGACAACACAACTTAAAAGTGCAGGAAAACATATACAAGGCTGGTGCGTGACTTTAGTCTGCCCTTCTTTCTATTGGCAAGAAGCGTCCCTTTAACTCAGCGGAAGCTACCTTCTCACGCAGCCCTTTCCCCCGTTATGTCTGATCAAGTAACGTCAATGCAACGACTGGTGTGCGTCTGTTTCTTATTCCTTGATTGTTTGGCTGGTCACCCTCTGTCAATTGAAAGGCTGCAGAGGCCTTGTAGTGTCAAAGATTTTAACTTTGTGCCCCCGGAGTTTACATAGTGTCTTAATATGCCATATTTGTAGCAAAATCATGATTGATCGATTGGATTATTGATTGGTTAATTGATTGATTGATTTATATCTTGATTGTATGCACGATTCCGAAGACACTTTGTTTTAGTTCCTTGCGTTCGTATTAGGAGTTGGTTACGGTCCCGAGGTAATATTCATTTATAAAAATAAAAAAATATCTGAGACTTGCCATAGCCTGATGGAAGACACCAACCGAACGCCTGCTGCTAAGTTTCTGATTAGAAGTCATCAAAATTTCGCGAATGATGGTCAAGAGTCTAACGTTGCGGAAGAGCCAAAATACTTACATCTCTCAGCAGTTTCTCCGACTTGTTTACGTCGAAGTCGCGAGCTGCGTAAGGAAAGTTATAATTTAGAGTAAATAAAATTAACCCAATGCGAGAAGTCGTGCTGTACATTGTTTACACTGTAAAGGCAGTGAGTCATAACCGGAGCATCACCAAGAACAGTTTGATGTGTCTACTATTTTTTATTCAAAGAAAATATATATACTGCTTTAGAATACACTATAATATCTTTGGATTTCTTAGCATCAAATACCCTTCGTTAGTTCATTTTGAAGTTGACATGGGTGCCCACGTTCGGCGTTTGGTAATTTTGCTTTGTCTTGATTAGGTTGAAACGTACCTCTCAACCAACGCAGCAGAAACGGATCCGTGAATTCTTCGTTCCAGATATCACGGAGATGATACTTGAGCTGTTGAAGCAAAGAAATAAAACCCCGTTCAGCAAAACAAAATATATTAGAAAGCATGCTCTCTCTAAGGCACTACCGGAGTTTTGCCATAAATTGCAGCGCTGTGGTAGTTCAAACACCAAGTGCTACTTCAACTATATTCCTCCGCAACGAAGGTCGAAGTAAGAAGTCATGTTTAACACCGGTGATTAGACGGAAAATCCTTCGTGTGATTCGCAAGACTCTTGTTTTTGCGTTGCTATATTTTACAAAAAGGTATGTCTAGTCAGATAGGTGTAAACAACAAAAAAGCCGCTTTTCTGACGTGGATGTCAGATGTTTTTTATGCGAATTTAACGTTGCCCTTAAAGAACCTTGCTAATCTGTAAGAAGCAATTAACAAGAAGGTGTGTGGTTATTGAGTAACCACATTTACGATGAGGGATAAATTACTCATATAGAACTCTAAGGTCAACCATTAAATGTGCTAATTTCGCAATTTTTCATAGTTGCAATGCCTCCCGGAGTTATTCATGCGAGCAAAGCATCTAACTACAATCGCAAATGCGTGGAGTGTTCGCTTTTCATAATTGTCAGCCCTCACATATTCAAGTACCTTATTACAGAAGCCCTTTTTGGATGCAAATCCGAGGTTTCCGCATCAAATCATATCAAATAAAAGCTTCATTTTCCAGGACAACTAGAAAAAGTTTCAGAGAAAGAGGTGTTAGAAATGGCTTGACTGGGTCTGGGACTCCTGTTGCATTGGGGCTGCGAAGAGAAGCTCACCGGAGACAAGCTTACTGCAAAACTGTCACAACTCACCGGTCTTTTTACGGATGCAAAAAAAAGCTCACCCACGAATCCAAGAATCGAGCCTTCACTCAACTGAAGTATGCTGGGATACCTAATGTGCACGCGGTAAATCTGCACTTCACTAGCCGAATTTTTTTTTTAACATGAAAAAGTTTTGTAACACGTCAGGCGTCGTTCGACGAAAATAAAATAAATAATTCCGATCGGCGCAAAAAAAAAAACAGTGTAGAGAGCTGCAACTTGAGTAATTCCGGGATATTTATTTAGGAAATTACCTTAGTATACCGACGCCGCATTGCAAATGTTCAAGAAGAGGTGGTTTCAAATCGTAGCTTATTCGAATGGAAAATAAAAAAGGTCGTATTTCCTTTGTCTCGGCTACGTCAGAAATAAATATTGTAACACCCACACGAAATTGGTTGACACAATGGCGGAACGAGGGCTGCAGCAAGGGTGGAGAATAAAAATCAAGCTGACTAAAATGGCGATATAAAGCAGACCGCTTTTACTGGGATGATTGAAATCAAACCTTTCCTGCAAATATAGTCACAAACGGCATTTCTTTATTAATCGTACGTTCATGATTTCATGTTTTCAATGTACGCATTAGAGTCGATGAATGTAGGGCGCATATGTTCTGTATTTAGATCAAAGAGTCATCACATAAGAAAGATTTATATAGGATTGAACACGAGCAAAAAAGCAGTGGTTTTGAAAGAAAATTTATGCGTTGAACTTCGTTTATACCTCCAACTTCGTTCGTCAGTTACGCACATTTTTTTTTTAAATCTATTTGGAACGCAAATGATAGAAACGAAAACTTTGAAAGTTATGCTATGCAGCAGAATGCAATCGCGAAAAAGAAAAGCCAAAACAGCTTTTCCGCTAACAAAACGCTAAGCTGTTCTTGTTCTAGTATGGCGGGGTTTTCATGAACAAAAAGTGGTTAAAATTGCAGTAATTCTTTTTCCGTACTGTTCTCTCTGATCGGAAGAATTGATCAAACCGTCTGCGGTGTTTAAAAATGCATATAGTCATAAAATATCAATATTTCCTAGCTGCGTTGATATTACTCTGATTTAAATTAAACAGATATTTTTTTATTTTTTCATCCGTTTAGTTTACTGTTATTATATTTGTAAATTTTGCCCACTTCAGAGATGCAGAGCTTCTTAATGTGAAATGTGTACACTCCGTTACATTGTCTACATAAACGAACGGTGGGCTTTGTTTTACATTTTTTTTTTGTGGTTGGCATTAAAACTACTAGTACGGCATAAATTGCTCATTCAAGGAACAAACTTATGCGATAAACGTTAGACGCTGATCAACTCCTTCTTTAAGTAAAGTGCGAAAACTCGTTTCGCGCTAACTTTGCTTCACAGCGTACCGCCTGCGTGAGAGGCGCTTAAACCTATGGACCTGCTGTAAATGATAACCGACAACTTTACATCTTAATTTATTTCGTGGTGAACTTTTCTCCGGGTCTATGAAAAAACTGGTGGGCGTTTCTTCTCCGGATCGGCACAAAAGTGGGTAAGTTTTTCTCCGATGAGCTTTCCTCCGGGATTCGTTGCATTGGCAGCAGCTTTGGTACAATACACTCTATTACTATGGACAATAATGTAATAAATTTAAAAAAATGTGATAGGATACACTGAGTTACGAAGCAACGAGGATATACGATCGCAAGTCTTGGTTGCTGATCGTATACACGTTTATGTTGTTTGTAAGGCATTCATTTAAAACAAAGAATGCATTGCAATGTAAGGATCGTAAATGGTAGTTTGTACGGGAAAGAGGGAAGACCCATGCGTATCCGCGGCGTAAGCTGACGTAACTCTCATGCTTTGTGATTTCAGAACCAGCGTAAAAGAAGTCTGTGAAAGATGCAAACGATAAATGAAAAGAACAAAGTAAACGGTACTCATGCATGCGTTCAACAGGAATTATTTCATATTTTGAAAATAAAGGCACTCTGTGGTCTGTATAAGGAACAATGGCCATAAATCGTAAGATTTTAATATTCGTTTGTGTTGTAGTAACCCATACAAGGTAATAATAATAATAATAATATTGTAAATTAATCAAATGGCATCAATTTCATTGGGGTTGAAAATACATACCAGAGTTTAGTTGTAATGTTGAGGGGCCAAATATTGCATCACCTAGAGACAACACCAATCACCCGAGAGAGTTTAGTTATCAAAAAATTCACATGAAAGTCCCAGGTCACTTACTCGGAAAAAATGTGCTTAATGTTTTATGTTCTTGGACTAGTTAGATTGATGATGTATCCAGTGAAAGTGTACGATATATGAAAATTCGTTTATTCTTTTACTTTAACAAGATTGCTATGAACTTCATTGTGTTTATCTCAAGACCGTTATTCTCAGACCACAATGCAAAATTTGTTGGAGAGGAATTTGCTTTACCCAACAGTATATCAGCATCGGCCACATAGAGAACCATTCTCGTATCATCCGCATGTGTAACCAGCTGCGCTCTCTTGATTGAACAAAGAGTAAATGGGTCTTAAGCAAAGAATAGGATTGTGCAAAACGAGTATTGGAGAATACGATCAGAATTACGTCCGTAGGAAATTGTATCAGTCAGCAGTCGATAATACTAGATAGAGCAACCCAAAAGCTTTGGCTGTTGCAATTTTTTTTATTTTTGTTGTTGATGAGTTGTGTTCCTCATCAGGCGGGTGTGCGGTGCCTGTGAACGGATGCACGAGGGAGCACTTGGTTAGGTCTTTGGGGAGGATGCTTTGTTTTGAATTGTTGCCTGTGCCATTGTTGTTTACAAGACGATGTCTGTACCGTGGTTGAACGTCACAATGACGTGTGCGATCTCCGGGAGATGTCTGTGTTGTATTGTGTACGAGAAGAGGTCGTTGCTTTGAATTGAGGTGATGACAAGATGTACCGTGGTGGAACGCCGCAAAGACGTGTGCAATTTCTGGGAGACCAGTGTGTGAGAGACGATATATAAACGGTTGTGTCAATAAACAATAAACTTTAGTAGCTGCGTGTGAGACGTTCAATGTTTGTCCCCTTCTTCTTCTGTCGTCTCCAGATTTTTTTTTTTTTTAAAGAATGTTTGCACTTGGTTTTTGATCATAACTAGATAATTAATTAGACATTAAATAAAAAGGGGCAAAGTGTACTTCCTTGCGGTACACCGGAAAGAAACTTTTCGAAAGAAAAGAAAGGACTGTCAAAAACTAATCATGTCGTATTACACCTGAGACTGCGGTGGAAGAAATCGGAAGAACTTTCAGTAGAAGGAACCGACACAAAGAAAAAAAAATTGAGACGTTCTCTGTGTCTGTTCCTTCTACTGAAAGTTCTTCCGATTTCTTCCACCGCAGTCTCAGGTGTAATACGACATGATTAGCTACCACCAGCTCGCCTGCACTCTCACCGTCTTGTCAAAAACTACACACGGTTTCCCATTTGCTCGATGTGACTGAAGTAAAAGGAGTGGTACGCCGCGTGCACCATATCGACTGAGTTTTATAAGTAGTATTGCGTGATTTAGAACATCAAACGATTTCTATATTTTGAAGTATAATTTATTTTTGAAATAGTAAGGCGGCTTTTGTAGATTAACCTTTGCGAAAGCCGAACTGAGAGTCTGTTAATACCGAAAATTTACAGAAAAAGTGGCCAAAGCGTGTAAGAATAATTTTTCAAGTGCCGTGGAAAAGACTGGTAACACCGATAATGGCCTGTAATTATTTATAATATGGTTATCGCCTCCTTTGTGTATAATGGTGACGTTTGCACACTTCAAGCTGGGGGTAACTTACCAGATGATAATATTAAGTTATATGTATATATATATATATATATATATATATATATATCATAGATGTGAGGCAATTAGATTCATTAAAAATTTAACCGTTTTTAATTGTCGTTTATTAGTACAATACTCTTCTTAATTTTTAGTCCTAAAAATCTTAAGCACCTATATCTTATCGGTTGAATTGAGAAAAAAAAAAAGGTCTTTGATGTGGCTAAAAAAGTAGATGATAAACAATTTAACGACACTTATTTAGGCTCACGACTTCGGAATCGCTCGGGTCACTTGAAACACTTTACCATTTCCTGACAGAAAAAAAAATTGTCTCGCTTTGTATGCTTATACAGCCTCGATGTTGTTACGCCTCAACGGGTGACCGGTCGCTTAGCTATAGATGAGAAATTTAGCCAGTGCAGTACAAACGCTAACCTGGGGTTTGTAACGTGAATCACGCAGTAGTGATCCCACGAACGCGTGACGGTACGAAACTCATCCGGACAGAAACGGGCGGGGTCTGTGTGGATCAAACCCAGGAGGTGCCCAGAACAAGCTTTTGCTCCACGCTCCGAGCTGAGACGCGTTAGCCCACTCGGCAACCGATTCCCGTCCTGACGGAGAGAGACCTCGCAGGACGAGTTTGCCGGGTGGTAGCTAGATAGCTTCATGTGATAACGCATATCGGGTGGAATGATAAAGCTCTCTCGACACTTAGTCTCGCTCACAAAGCTACCATCTGTTGTTGTCCGCTGAGATCTCAAGTGGGCTCAACGAAGGACTTCGATTTTATGTCTACGGGCGAAATTCGTTCATGCTTTTCAGCGGAGCATGGCCATCCAAAGATATTGGACCATAATACAGAGCTTGGCTGTTTCCATTAGAGGTTTACAAAGACAGGAATGAGCAAATGCCGTTTAGAGGATAAAAATATATTGGCGCTTTACTGACTGCAAAATGCTTTAAAACCTCTGTCGAGTGTTTTTGTCGTTTGGGAGGTTGTAATGCGAGGAATTCAAATCTCAAATAAGTATAGAACTGCTGTTTTAGATTTCGAACCTTCCTCTTTAAGTTTATGCGCATCTCGAAGCGATCGAAATAAGATACATCTGTGCAGTGCCTTGAGCCCCTAGAGAGTACAAAAGTATGCTGCAGAATTGTATGTTATTTTGGCAGACTACCATTAAATAAAACTAATAAAGTTTCAATTATGTACTCCTAATATGCACACCATTCTTTAGTTGCGTTATTTAGTTGATTTAACTGACGTATTATTTGTGCAGTGACATGAATTTCCCAGAGAGTTAACCTAGGTTAACATTAAATAAGAGACGAAACAGAATAAAGTCTGTCAAAACTGAATTGACTCGCTCCAAACCGTATTTATCGAGGTAACACACTAAGAAGTTTTCCTTTATTTACTCGGGTATTTATGTACGTAACGGTATCTTATTCATCTATAAAAGCAGTGCAGTAATAACACGAATTGAGATTGTCCCTTAACCAGACAGCAAACCCAAGGCTCGTCTCTTATTGAGGCAAACACGTAGTTTCACTGTATTGTTTCCGAGATGATATGAATAATAAATACTTTACATTAAATGTTAACATTCGGGTCGTCCAAAGCTATATCTAATGGTGAATTCCGCTCGCAGATCTCGAGCGCTCCAAAAGCGCTCCATTTGGAGCGCGCATATTCCGCTCGCAGATCTGGCTCAAGTTGGTCATCTTCCGCTCGTAGATCTCTGGCAGCGCCCGCTCTACGGAGCGCCCCAAACTCCGCCGAACTTGCTCTGCGGGATTTCACAGATCTCTCCGGAAATTGACAGAGCGGCCCACGTGATTTCCGTCTAAATCGGCGGTGCGCATGCGCGGCGAGGTGGAGAGATCGGCGGGCCGGTCGGGCCACGGTCGGGTCGTGGAGTTGGATCTGTTCGGGTGCGTCGGTTGTTTACTCTGGACTGTGACGGCTCGAACGCTTCTACCTCGCGTAGATCAGGGATAAAAAGCCGGGAATGTGGAGCGTGGCAAATCGTAAGCGCTGACATCTGTGATCACCGAGGAAGAACGAAAAAAAGAACGACAGAAAAGCCGGAGGCAGACGCAAGGTTAGGCCTATTCATTCTGCAGCCAGTGATTGTTTACCTTTTTACACTGCATTCCATCGGCGTTTTCCCGTGAAATAAAGCAAGAAGTGATTAGGCAACGACCGAGCAAGTGATGGTTTGTTACCTCTGTGTTTATTAAAGTCGTACTAGCAATCTGAACTCCACCGCTGGCAATCGCTGTCCGTGCCCCGCCGCTTCGAGGCGGCCGAAAGGTATGTGACGGTGCCGAACGCGGACGTCTTCGCTATTTGTGACATGGGCGCCGTGGTACGTATAATTCCGCCCGGCCTGTGTCGCGTGTTACTTCTGCAGCTAAGCAGTGACAGTCGTCACTGGTCGTCGGAAAGATCAGCCGGCTGAGGCGTTGGTGGGCTGGTCAAGTTCGAGCAGCGGCCATTTTGAACGGCGGAAGGAGAAGGGGTGGGGAGGGGTGTGGGGGAGGTCGCTCCAAAAATGCAAGTTTATCTTCCCCTCGTCGATACGGAGCGGGTCCCACGGAGCGGAATTTCGCCTCCCTCGCGGATTTTGGAAAGCGCTCCAGATCTACGAGTGGAATTCACCATAAGACTTCCCTTCTGCCGAGACGCGAATCATATAAAATTATTTGGGCTCACAAAATCATTTAATTTCAATCCGAAAACCCGTTTCCCAATCCCTTCTTTAACAAAAAAACACCAAAAAACCCCACAAAAACACAATTACTTGCCTCGTCGAGAGAATGCTGCTGCTTGTCGCTCAGGTCTCCGGCGTATCCACTCATGGCGACGCTTGTATTAAATCAGCGCGAGACCCGCTCGGAGCCCAGCGCTAGCGCAAATATTCCCAGAATCAATGCGATCCGACGGACGTGATTGAACGCATCACGTGTGATGAACAGCCACTAGCCGACGAAGTGCGCAGGAACGCGGTCATTGCCGAGTGCCGTGTAAACATTGTGCCGCCGTCTATATACGTCCTATCGGCTATCGGCAGCATTCTCGCGACGGGAGAGAACTTGCCAAGTGAGTGTTATTTTGGTCCGAGAGCTTCGACTTCAGAAGGTATTGAAGTGTAAATACCATCAAATTATTCATTCTCTACTCGAACGAATGTAAGCATTTTGAAAGACGGTAGTAAATAAAAAAAGGGCAATAAAGGTTGTGCATTCTTTATTGTTATTAGAATCTTAATAAACATAACAACTCCCAGTTTAGCCAACCATGTCGTTTCCTGGGCTCCGGTCGCTAAGGTCACTGTTAAAAATATATATATATATATGATTTTTCTCCCCACTTACGAAAGCGCTAGAAATAGCGACGGCAGTTTCACGGTTAGAGCAGTGGAATCACACAAAAACCTTAAATTCGTTGACCTTTCAGAAAACATCTTGAGGGTGCTTCGTCTCTGGCACAAGTTTTAGGTGAGATTAAATTTTGTTGTGTTTGTTACGTTTTTATTTTTGAATTTCTAAGGCCAGCAACTCTCAGATCAAGCGTGCATCCTACGAATCGAATGCGTGCCGCGTTACGGCGGCATCCATGGCAATATAGAGGCCGACAATGCTGTAAGAACGGTGATGGAAGTATAGCTCGCGCTTCCAGATAAAGAGCAACAAAAACCAAGTCGAGAAAAGGACTATAATGTCCTCCCATTTGAGCCTGACAAATTTCTACCGGATACGACGAACTGGCAGAAAGTCCTGACAGACCAAATCAGGCAAGACCCGTATGGAAACCTACCTGCCTCATAAAGCGAGAGTGAACTTATCATCCTGCGCAGCATTCGCACAAATACGACACTAAAGGCGACCGGCTTTCCAAGCTAAGCTGGATAACACCGGGTGCATGAGACATCCATGTGACACAAATTCACTTATAATGTGTGACTGTACTCGGTGCGGGACCCCAAACCCAACCAACACAGAACATCTCATCTGGGAATGCAGAGCTACACCGTGAATCCGACGGGGCGTAGTATATACACTCTCCGCTTGGCATCTAACCAGCTATTTCCTGAAATGTATATTAGAGGCTGGAATCGAATACCATGTCTAACATTTTCACTCTTTCTCCCGCGAATGACAAAGGGTCGAAGTGGTGAAAGTATTTATTAAAATATGCTTCAAGTTAAACAGCAACAAAACGACAAGTTTATTCTTTCTCGTCTGCCAGTTGTTCTGCCAGGTCGGAACAACAAAAATGAAGTCATCTTTTGGAGCGTTTCCCCGCAAATGTAGTTAGGAAATCCAATTGGTTTATAATATGACAATGGTACAGATCGCCCCGCTGTATATAGCGGTAAATTACTTGTTTCATTTTCTTGTTGCACTTTTTGGGGGTATTTTTATATGAACCCTTAGCCCTGCACTCATTTTTCGCGGAACATCACTGCACCAATTAATGCGTAAAAGAGCATTTATATGTTGCAATGAATATCACCATCCGCTGCTACAAATTCGAAGTATTCTGAGTTTCTTAGTGTGCACTCTGAGGAGTTGTTTCGGACCTTCCGTCGAAACAACCGTTGTGTAAATAATAGAAAACTTGTTTACCATTATATTTACTTATCTTAATTCCTCAAATTTTCCGTTTAGAACAGGAGTTCAGTCGCTTACCCACTAATCTTGATTGAACCCACCCGTCTCAGCTTGGCCTCAACGTCTTTTTAGAGCACAGCTCTTAGGGGCTCGTTTCCGGCTTGAGCAGCGTCGGCGTTGGCGTCGCCTTAAAGGTACGTTTATACTCCGACGTCGACGAACCTAATGTCCAACGACGTAAACGAAGTTCAACGTCCACTTCGCCACGCCACGCTGTGCTGCGAAAAGAATTGCCAACCGTGTTTATACTCCGGCGTCGTTCAATGCGCTCGAACGAATTGCTTCACACTGCGCATGCGCGTCACCATGGCGACCGCATGGTTTGGTCTCGCTGGTTCCGGATTGCCGCTTCCGTTCTCAACTTGCAGCGCTGTCCGGCTGCCCGGCGGCGGTGATGATCTAAGCAGTTAAATGTGTCAAAAGCTGGGACTCGCGGCAGTTGATATCTTCGCGCTGTACTACTCTCGAAAACAAGGAAATAACGAAGGTAACTCGCATAGAAAGGCATTTATTTCCTGACGAAAGTCATACGTGGTTAGCGAAAAGGAAACTATCAGCCGGGTGTTGTTTTGACCAACTTCAACGAAAAAGCAGCAGATGGTGGTTCGCAGCGACCATGCAGCTTCTAACATATGTCCTGTGCACAAACCTCATGAACTAGCCTTTAGCGTCAAAAACTCACGGATATGACACCGAAATGGGAATCCGATGTCCGTCGAAGAGCTTCAAGCGCGTCCCGGTGTCGTTAGGCCTACACATTTTCACGGCTCCGAGACAGGTCCACGTCGACGCGCCGGCTCACTCCATCGAGCGAACGGAATAAACAGAGCGCCAACACAAGCACATCCAACTGACCAGCGGCTACCCTACACGACACAAGCCCGAAAGGCAAGCAGACGAACAGACAACACAGCCCGACCGATGCCCGACTGGGGCAACGACGGGACCATGGCAAACGCGGGACGGGAGCTGGCGTGAAGGCTTCTGGGTAACGACCGTCGCCAGGCGACGCCGAGATTCGAGCAGGGCCTACCTCGGCGAAAGCTTCGCCGACGGTCGCCGAGACGCGCTACGCTGCGTTACGTTCGACTGTCGTCGGAGTATAGACGCTCCTTTCGCACCAACGTAACGCAACGAGGTCGGGCGCGCGCGCCCGTCGGCGTTACGTTGGAGTATAAACGCACCTTAAGGCCTGACCACAGTAGCGTAAACGGCGCCGCCGCCCGGCGTCCCAACGCGAGGAGTCCACATTGGCCTCCGTTTCGCAGGCGTCACGTGACAGCACTGGTTCCCGCGATCGCGCCTCCCGTCGGATTTCCCGCTCTTTCGTCGTCTGCTCTTCGTTACATTCTTCCGTTCCGCACTCGCTGCCTACATGGTAGGAGTCCATAATGACCTGGTGATCAGCGCGAATGTGATTTTCCTAGCCTGCTCGTTGATTTTGCGACGTCGCCGCGCTCTGAAGGGTAGGAGGAGCAGGTTTTGGGTCCGGCCGAGTTGGTTCTACCGAAACACCGCAGGACAGGACAGGTCTGGCGCGCCGCCGGGGCTTTGCTGCCCCGACGGCGCGCCAGAGATGAAGACTACTTTCGGAAGTGTCACCAAATCAACACGACATCCGTCACAACACAGACGACATGCAACAAGTGTGCTACGAAGAAACTCAGTTGTAATTCCGAATTCCTCTCCTATAATTTCCCAGCAGTTGTTCTTAGCGTCGTTATCTAGGTAGTCTGGCAGCGTCTTGTCATATAAAAAGGAAAACAGTCGCACAGTTTCAAGGAACCGCTCCGTTGGGGAAGGCATCGGGGGAAAATAGGAAGAGCAGACGACGCGAAACACGTCCTTCGGAACCTGAAAGACGCGCCGAGGACCGGCTCGAGCGTTGCCATGGCATCGCGACGTCACTATCTACGCCACCTCCCATTGGCTCTTCTCTACTGCGGCGTGCGGCGCCCGGCTCTGAACCGCGCACAAAGCGGTTGACTCTGCGGCGCCGTACGTCGCGCCGTTGAAGCCGAAAACTGGTTTGGGCCGGCAAACGGCAGCGCCGACCGTCGCGCTGCAGGCCTCCGCGACGCCAATGTGGTCGTGCCTTTACTCGTCGGCGTCGGCGTCGGCGTCGCCGTCGGCGCAACCGCGAGGTCACGTGACCCCCCCCCCGAGGTCACGCGACCCCCTAGGTCACGTGACCCGCCTCAAATCACGTGACTCTCTCAGCCCACGTGACCCCCTTGAGGTCACGTGACCCCCCTCAGGTCACGTGTCCCCCCTCAGGCCACGTGACCCGCCTCAGATCACGTTACCCCCTGAGGCCACGTGACCCCCTGAAGCCACGTGACCCCACTGAGGCCCTGTGACCCCCCCGAGCTCACGTGACCCACCCTGAAGTCATGCGACCCCCGAGGTCACGTGACCCCCTGACGTCACGCGAGCCCCCTTAAGCCACGTGACCTCAAGGAGTCACCTATCCCTCAGTACGCTTCCATGTTCCTCCTCAAGAGCTGCGCTCTAACCGGCGTTACAGGGAATTGTAAACGGCTTTCATTTTTTTTTAGCTCAGTAACAGAGCATGAAAACGGAGTATGCATCGTTGCACACGCAGAGCTCGCCCTAGAGGTTTCTGGCACCACCACATGGTGGACATTTTTACGTCAGCGCTGCAACGTCGAATAGCTGATTGAGTTTAAGGAAGGATATAACAGCAGATCTTCGTTCACGAGTCACGATGTTTATTAATCTAGGTGGTGCCACGGCTGGGGCATGTAAAAAGACGCTTTGAAGTAGTTCAAATCAGTCGATGATGCCCGTTTCCGTTGGTTGAGAAGCGCCTTCATTAGAGGCGTGCTTATCTTTTCTTTCCCTAGGGCATCAGCAGAGACTTGGGGTGGGCAGCTCGCGGACGCCGATGACCAAAGGGACAGGAGCTCTCCCGGCCTACCGTACGGATGTTTGTATGAAATTATAAAAGGTTGGCTATAGTCTGTTGAGGTTACAGCGAAAATAAAACACCGCGCAAAGACACCGGACGAATACGATTTCACTCGCATGGCGGTTGGTCTTGTCTTTTGTGCTTGTGGCGTGTTTGCTTTTTTGCGCCGGCACCTATCTTTTCATAAAATAGGTTCGTGCTCAACTTCTACGCTTGGTGATATGGTTTATAGAAATGGTGTTTCCGCACACTATACTGAGGACAACTTACCATGGAAATTCAACGCTGTGTCTGGCATTTTTTTCTTCTTGCTCACGGATGTGTCCCTTTGCACCCAGTCATTTTGAATACGTTGCGTGCGAACCCTAAACACTTCAAAGTACGAATGACTGCTG